TTATAGTAGTACAGCATCTTGTTTGCAGATGCTCTGGTTGAGAGCAACTGATTGAAGGGGGAAGGGACCCAAAGCTGACTGACCTAATTGCTGTGTGGATTAAGAAGCTGGCAAAATCATTAGTTTCTTTTATATGTTTTCTTTCTATACTATAATAAAGATAAATATTGATTGCTAGAGCAATATTGATTGTAGGGGTTGCTGCTGATGGCAGCTGCATGATTTGCACAAATATCTCCCATGTACAGCGCTGCTTATTTGCATGAGAATGCAGCTCCACCATCCTCATGTGTTGCAGACTGTTCATGTCCCTTATAGAAGCATTTACCCAAACTATATATATCAGTGATTAGCAGTAAAATATGAAACAAGGGACCGAAACAGTTCATCTTCTTAATATGTTTTGTGTGTGTGACTGTCTGCTGTGGGTAAGTGGAGTTTATTGTCCCAGCCATGCGGAAAGAAGCGCAGGACACAAGGGACCTGCTGTAATTTTGCTGCAACATCATCACCTCGCTTGGGAATACCACCCAGCCACACCGCGCGCCTGGGACAGATGCTCCTTCCTTCACCTGCTGACCTAGATGCTGAACACGCCAAGCTCCTTCATTCAAGCCTGGATGCCCTCCTCCAAGCTCCCAGCTTTGTGTCATCAGGAACTCAGTGTCCCCACAGAACAGCTTCAGCATCTGCTCCCAAGCTGAACCTGCCCGGTGGGATCCTTGTCCACATGGGAGAAACTAAAAAGGCCCCTCTGGCATGGGCCAGGCTCAGGAGGAGGGAGAAAAGTTGCCTACCACAAGCATGGTGCCTAGGGCAGAGCACGAAACCCTACGCTCAGCCAAGGAGGAGTCCTTGAGGTGGTGTGGGACTGAGTTGCGGGGAGCAGGAGGGGTATTTACACCCCTTTTTATCACTGGTGCAAACCTCTGAGTGGCCCATTCTAGGTCAGACACCTCCTGCCAGGGATCTCTGCTGCCTCTCTCCTCCACCTACAGCCTCCAGGAGTGTGGAAGGGGAAGGCAGAGGAGCAATCTGCAGAGAGGGCCATCTCACCTCCTCGGGCACCACCAGGCTGCAGGGAAAGCACTCTCTCCCGAGCACGTTATACATCTCGGCGTGTCTGTCATAGCTCGCAAACTGCATCTTATTCTGGGCCATCCTGCACTTCGAGACTGCTGCTGGCTGACCTGCTGATATTGAAATTCGAAGGAAAAGCATGCATATTTAACCCCAATTCATCATTTTGATTTTGATTAAGTCTACAAGTCAAAGGTTTGCAGGCTTTAATCTTGTTTTAAGAAAATACTCCTGTCCTCTCTTCTTGGTGTTTTCCAACAGGAAATTCAACAGAAGGGTTTTTCCTATTATTTATCTCCTTCTACTTACTTGGACACATCATGGACCTCTGAAATAGCTGCCCGAGATCTATCCAAGCCACGGCTTGTCCAGTGTAGAGAGTGCTCTTATTTCCTCAGTGGCCCATAAAGAGGGAGATTAATACTGGAATCCAGGTTTCTGCCATGGTTATGCACTGACACTAAGCCACTTTAGCAGATGAGCAGGCACTCCATTTGGTGAGTACTATTTATATAAAGCGAGTGAGTATTTCATAGATGCTTTTTGGAAGATCTTAGAAATACACCACGGTTCACAATGTTACGCTTCATTCTTCATTTCCTTTTAAGTATATCTCTCGGGGTGTTATGTTGTGTAGCCCTGTCTTACAAAATCAATTATTCCTTAGCCAGCTCAGAAAAAAAACCCCAAAGTAAGCAACACCAAATGTCTGATTTACCAATAGATTGCAATCCAGTGCTAAAGAGCATAGCCACTGCCCTGCTTTAAATATTTATGAAGCCCACTGGTGCAAAATGCATTAAAGGTGGGAATAATGCCAGTAATACACGATCCTCTTAGTGACAAGAAGCTTTCACATATTAAAGTAGCAAGATGTTAAAGACTTTCAACTGAACAGTCTTTGTTTTTAACCTAGAGAAAGAGATTCACTAATGGAATGCCAAATTGCATTCACTCTCGTGATATTAGACTGCAGAATAGGATAATAATACACGTGTGCTTTACCATGCCGTGGAAAACCTGTTATTACTGTGGCTTCTTTTCTGCCTTTTCATTGTACTTTCCAGAAAATGTTCACACGCATACCTTACCCCTTCGAGTAGCCTGCTATGTGCCAAACCCCCTATCAGAATCCCAGGAGTCTAGCCATTAACAGATTGTTTTATATGCAAATAAAAAGATTTGAAAATAATGGTGACATGGTACAATAGCACAATTTAGCTGAGTGACAACTGGCGAAGGATAAACAAAAAAAACCAACAACAACAACAAAAAAAGAGTTAAACCAGAGACAAGGGACTGCAGAATAACAGACTGTGGCAATGCAGAATAATGTTAATTGTCACTTTAAATCATCAGCAGCCCAACCACATCTGCTATCACACCTGTGCTCTCTTCTCTGATCTACTCTGGCACCCTGGAAATATTAGGCGAACAGCCAGCCTCATATCTCCAGCTCTCTGAGGTCTGGCTCTGCTACCAGCTTGCATCCCTCTTACCTGGAATGACTCAGGCACTGACCCTGCACCCTCAGACTGTTTCTGATTGATAAGGGGACACTGCCAGTGCTGGGCTCGTCACCCTGTAGCAACAGGTCCCGGGGCCACTGGAACCCACTGACCCCATTTGGATTTTGCAAACCTCATCTCAGGCGACATAGCTGAAGGAGCCCTGCTTACGTCTGAAATTTGATCCGCATAAAAATAGTGATCGAATAATAAACTGAGATTTCTTTTCCCACTTAATCTAAGGACATTTTCTGCACACCAAATCTTGGCAGGGGAGTGGGGGAATATGTCTATCTGGTGCCAAACATGGAAATTCAATTAATGTACATTGGAAAGACGGATCTAGGTCCCCCATACATAGTCCGCTTTTATTCTAGAAATAAGAATAACAAAGAGCTAACACCCAGAAGGCTCATTTTTTAGAAAGACGTTTATCCAAGACTAATCGGGGGCAGGGATAGGAAAGCAGGGCTCTGTTATGGCATATGAAGTTGTTTACTTCAAAGCAGACCTTTAACAGGCTTTACATGGTCTTTGTACTTCTGGTTGGAAATCTGCTTTCCTGCCTTTTAACAGTTTGTCTGGTAGCATCTTCCTAGTAAATGCCCTTCCCTGCTTCCCTCCCCAAGAAGCGTCTTCCCCCGCAGAAAGACCGGCTGTCAATAAAGATTGAGAACTTCAGCTCCTGCAGTCATTACGCTGCTCCATATAAGCCAAGCTGTTTCAAAGGGGAGGAATTAGTGCAAAAGCTGCAGTGGGAACATTACTGGGGTAAGTTGGATCAGGCTATTTTATCGAGCTATTTCTGGAAAAAAAATAAACACTGCTACTCAGGGCTAATGATTAATAATGTTATCTTGTAGCTAATTTTATTCCTTGCCCCTCTCTTCTCCTGCCTTCCAATTTGGAAGTGCACTTAATTATGAAAACATGAGCACTAGACTGTGAATTTTGATATATTAATTTTACCTTGGTTTTGTTTCTACACTGCACCACCAAAACTCTCAAGGACAACTGGTCAAGGAGACAATGAAAATCCTGATACCTGGCATAATGCCATTAAGCAAAGTCAAAATTAAGCAACTTCTTCCACACGTATCTCATTACGTTATTGCAAACCTATAACCATGATGTGTCTTGCTCCCGTTTTTCAACACCACAATTTCTTTTGCTGACTGGGGCCAGAGCAAGGCCTCTGCGGTTTGTTTACTTGTTGTTTTTTAAAGACTAGAACCAGCGGTTATTAAAAGTCTGGCAAGACAAACCCAAAACGAGCACAAATGGATGACCATATTCCTAAGCTTCTTCACTGAAGAGCAGAAACGTCGTCCATAATCTCATGCCTGACCAACAGTGCATGGATACCTTGCCTGGATGAGGTCAGATGCCCAACACTGGGCCCAATTATCACGTTCACCATTCATTCATTCATTCATTCACTCATTGACTCCTCTCTCTGCTCCATTCCTATCATCCAAGTTAGAGTTTGGGCAATATTGCTTTCTTGACATCTCACTGCCCGGTTTCTGTATCCATCCGTTAGCTACCACCAGCCCACAGCTTCAGAAGCATCAACCAGACAACAGCTCTAACATTTGCATGATTATTTTGTTGTCTCTCTAAATTTGTATTAATTACTTAGATAGAAATATGAAGCTTGGCATTAAGGCAGTGTTAGAATTACAGCTCTGTGAATAGAGGCTTTTTTTATCTATTGGCTGTTCCAAAATCACAATCAAATTATTAGTTTATGTGATAGTTAATGTAGAGATAATATATATTTACATAGTTTCTAGGCAAAATGAAAAATTAAAAAAAATAAATCTGAGTACATAGAATTACTTCCCTTCAGGTTATGTGGTTAAGGTTTAAAATAATTTTAAAAAAATGAATACTTTTGAAACCTCTTTTAAAAAATAAAACAATTTCCATTGAGAAAATCTCTAAATGTACACTCTAATTATTTCAAACATTTGAGGCTTAGGTCTTCAACTCCAGCAACTAGGAAAAATCAAGACAGATTTTGCAGCGTTTCTAATGCCGCATATGAATTAACATGATGATAATACTAATGATACTTTTTAACTGGAAAAGCTTTAGGTCAATTATTTTTCCCAATTCTATTTTTACCGACGTATAAAGCTGTAAAACCCCAGATGGAATAACATAAGTTATAGCAGCAACAAAATGGATAACTGTGTTTCTAGGCTTTGTCTAAATTGTGCATGTTCCAAAATTATAAACCAGACTCTTTTATACATTTTTTCAGAGTAATAACCACCTCAATCACTGTGTGATGAATCTCTGGGTGCAGAAAATTGAATATCTAATTTTTTTAATGCTTTCTAAACCACAGTACCTTTAAATAACAAAACATTCATTAAAATAGAAGAGTAGACCAAATTACTGTACCAAACATCCTCTGCATCTTCGTCACACTCTGCCCCAAACTGGCAAATGTCACAGGTCGATGTCTCTTTTTGATTGGTTTCACCTGAGCCTTCATTGACTGTTTGATGGAAAGCAGAAGAATATACATTAGTAAAGACAGCACTGTAGCAAAGCACTTACCTCTCTCTACAAAAATCTATTCACCGCGTCAGCTTAATGTGCTGCTCACAGAGCCGATGCCTGGCCAACAGATAGGGTTGTTCAATGGGGCCGACCCAGAGATTTCCATGTTGGTCTCTGATAAATTCCCTGAATTGTGGAGTTAAAAGGATAACTGGAGAAAGACCCTTGCTTTTCCACTTAAACAATGAACCCTTCAAGCTGCAGCTCAGGCAGGTTGTGTCGCCACCGAGCCTCACCGCTTTGCTCCCTGGGAAAATAATGGAGGTGTATTGCTATCATCACACGCTGCCTTGCGTCCTTTACAGGTGAAGGCCTTGAGGTGGACCCCAGGGGATGTTTTCCAAAAGCAAAACATTTTTCTCCTCAAAAGTACAACTATGAGCCCCAAGGACTAGTTATCTCTGGCAGGAAAGATTTAGTGCTGTCCAGAGGAGGGGACGATCTCCAGCATAGGTTAAACCTGAAACCCAGGAAAGTCAACGCCCTTGTCTGTAATTGTGTAAGGTTTGTAACTGGCCCTTAAGTCAAAAACTTGAAGGGACTGAGGGGAAAATAAAAATATGGGTATTAGAGGACTGTGAAAAAATGTTGACAGCTGAGCACTGGAAGGGAGAAAGAGACCACTGGGGTAGCCACCAAGAAGAGAGTTTGCTAAAAAATCCAAAGGAAACATCATCTACATTTATATTAAAACACTTTTTGATGTCTTTCAATAGGTGTTGCTTTCTAGGAAGACACGGTACCTAGTGCTATCCTTCTGCCAGTTACAGAATAATTAAACCAACCCAGACTTCAGGTATCAATCAGCTGTGACTGATGTTACCTGCACAAACAGCCTCTGCAGTGTCATCCTTTCACTGGGAGTCAGCACTGTGGTGTGGGCTTACTGCACATTTGGGTCCCACCTACCGAGGCTGGTGGGGACGCTGAAGTGTGTCGGTAGCCCCACTGACACTGATGGGACAAATCACCTGCCTGGTGTCGTGCACCCACTGTGCGAGACCCCGTTAGCCTGGCTGTTACTGGAGGCTCTCGGGTTGGGAGTGCTCTGACTTCGAATATGGTCCTTTTGTTATTTACTCAAGAAAGAAGAAGAGTTCTGAGCTTTCACAAAGCTGTTGGGAGGAGAAAGGGCTTTTGCCCTTAAAAGAGAAAGTGTGACCCCAATGCCTGCTTTCTTACCCTGGACAAGTTACTTAACCTCTGTCCTGTTTCCCACTGTGTAAAATGGGAATAATACCACTTTCTACCAACAAAGGACATGGAAACAAGTTTGTTAAAGATCGTGACATGCTTAGATACTACAGTGACACAGACCACAGAAATACCTAAGGTAGATGGTTTGTCTCAGAAGCTTTTTCCTGAGGCTTAATATAGCAAAGAAAGTGTTGGTATATTTAGGTTTGAGCTACGCCACAGCAATTTCTTACCAGTCTTGCTCAAATTTAGACTATATTAAAATGAAAAAAAATTATGTATGATGAGCATTCTGATGATCCTAAAAGGAAAAAAAGAGGGGTTTGCCCTATTTGTAGAACTTTGCTCACTTTATATCCACAAAATTCAGGTACAAAAACACCAAAGGGGAAACTCAGAAAACATGGAATCATAGAATCATTTGGTTGGAAAAGACCTTTAAGATCATTGAGTCCAACTGTAACTTCCACCTCTAAACCATGTCTCTAAGCACCTTGTCTACACATCTTTTAAATACCTCCAGGGATGGGGACTCAACCACTTCCCTGGGCAGCCCGTTCCAGCACCTGATAACCGTTTCAGTGAAGAATTTTTTCCTAATATCCCATCTAAATCTCCCTTGGCGCAACGTGAGGCCATTTCCTCTTGTCCTAGTGCTTGTTACTTGGGAGAAGAGACCGACCCCCATCTCATTACACCCTCCTTTTGGGTCATAGTCTGGATTTTTGTTCTACTGCATCATCAGGTTTTGTGGGGAGGGCCTGCGCTGTGGTTTTTCTGTTTCCTTAAATGACTGAGGAACTCTTTAGGCTCATATTTTATAAAAGCCAACATAAAAAGGTGGACAGGGTGTCCAAGGGCTGCGTCCTCACACCATTAGCATCTCCATGTGCCACATTTGTGATCCCGACCCAAAGAGCACCAGGAAGCTCATGCTGCTGTACAGATCCTCCCCACCTCTCTGCAGCTGCATCCAGGCCTGGGTTTTTCACTGCATTTCATTTATATTTTAAATTTAGAAATCTTTTCTTGAGGAGGTAACTTGGACAGCCAATCTTGGCAGGGAATTTCCAGTGGTTAAGACATTAGACGGGACACATGATCTGGATTTATCAAGTCACACTGCTTTGCTGTGCCACAGTTACACTACCTGTGAACGGGAAACAGAATATTTGGCAGATACTTTGGGAGCTGTAATGAACAACTGTATGCAAAGTAAAACGGACATACAGGCAGAAGACTTCTTATGACAGCTGAGTGTTCCTTGCCTACCAGGAATATGACAATTGCTCCAGTTCAGGAGGGCAAAACCGTATTTTTTTATGGAAAAGAGCTATAATATTTTATTTTGTTATCCTGTAAATCACTTTTTTTGTATGTCCTTTTAATTAAAAACATACGTCCTATTTTTTTTTTCTCCTTGTAATGTTTCTGTTTATAACTGTCCAGCAGGTGTGGTTTGACCAGGGACTTCACATGGTTCCACACCACGAGCTGAGTAAAACAGCTACTTAAGTTATTGAAGGAAGGCATTTGAAAGATTGAGCATTCTGAAGAGAACTAACTGCTTTAGAGAGGAACATCCACATTAAGGCACAATGCAGTTCTTAATTTCTACTAGAAAATAATAGTTCACCCCTTCACATTTTTCTGAAGAAGCTCGGCATCCAGCGTTCCATAATGAATGTGCACGCTGTCATTAAATGTCCGAGCATGCAGCGGTCTCGATTAAAAAAAAAGACAGCTGTTTATCTCCCTCTCTCTCCCCTCCTGTTTTCCGTAACCACAGATAATATTATTCTTTACATTTACTGAAGGTGTGTTTTCTCTCCCTACACAGACATACACACTGGCATGTGCACCCACACCCTGGACTGACGCACGCAGGGGCTTGTTTTCTCCATGCTGTGCAGATAAGAGCTTTGATAAATCCAGACATCTTAGAAAGAGTTATTTTCCCAATATTTCCTGACGCTTTTTAGCTTGAGGACTAGTGGATGCTCATTTTCTAAGGTGACTCTTTTTCCTTTTTTTTTTCCTCACTGCACTTGCCGGTTTACACTTGCTTTCATATCTCAGTTGAAAAAAAAAAAAGTTAGCAAAAATAATCTAGCTTCTGAATTCCTCTTCCAAAAATAAAAGGAGTACAATTCTCTTTTTCTATGTTACATAGTTCTCATATTAGCAACTGTTGAGGTTTAACACCAAGATGCTGCAGGAGCAGAGTGGGGTTTAAGGAGGCTAATCACTGAAGCCCACCACTTATTACTCACAAAACCGAGAAATGTTAAGCTGCAAGTTCCTATTTGTATTAGCAAGATTAGCAACTTCCAGGGTTCAAGGAAATGTGCTAACATGGGTTGGAAGGTCACTAACATTATCTGAAAGTCACTTCAGAGACTATCTCAATCTCCTAAGCAATATAAATTCTTTAGCTGGGAAGGCACTACACACAATTTACAGAGCCAGTGGACTGTGGTAACCACAACACCTCCTGTTTTAATCATTTGGTCCTTTTCTGGCATTCCCACTGCACTCAGATCAGATAGTTGTGATTTCAAGAATGTCTGTATTGCCTGCAAGTCCCACAAGAAAGAAATCATTTTGGACACATTTTAATTTGTTTCCATAGTTGAAAAAACAGACTGAAAGTACCATCAGTAGATTGGTCTGACTGTGCTTATCTCCTTTAGTAGCAGGAGAAAACTAAAAGCCCCAAACTGTCCCCCCCATGGCTGTAGACACTTTTACTTTCTCTTTACACTTCAATCTCTTTGAGTCTTCTGTAGGTGCTACAACCCCAACAAATCATGCTGTGACTTTATCCACACAGCTTCCCAGACTCATGCTCTACTAAGAGTTGATGACTGGTGGTTTAGCTCTTTTAGCAAATGAATACCAAAATCCCTGCGCTTGAGCTTCTGGATAACTTGCTCAGTGTCTTCCAAAGATGCTCGATGAGCGTCAAGGGCAGAATGGAAATAAACTCTTTGCAATTTCCAGAAAAGCAGCTCGAATGGGTTGGTTAGGAATATGCACGGCAGCTCACAGTCTTGATCTGATATACAAAGCGTCACCTATTTCCTAAGTGACACAAGGGACATGCACATAGCTCACAGACCATACTATGAGGAGTAAATGGAGGTGGAAAGAGTAGCTGGTGAGCCATGAGGGAGAGAAAGAATTAGGTGGCAACACTGGCTAAACACAAATGTCTCAATCTCTCTTTGCTAACATGCCTCTGAAGGCAGCAGGGCAAACTCGGAGGAGTCTCAGTTCAGTTTTCATGTGGCTTTTGTAGGATTACCACCAGTATTACAATAATCCTTATTTAATAGATTTTAACTATACTGGAGAACACAACAAAGAAACAGCATAAAACATCATCCCCCCCACTTGAATATACAGAAATATGACTATAATGATTTGTTATGGTTGTTTTTTGTATTATGCAGTCTTCCTGCGATTGACGCGATCAGCTGCGCACTCATCACAATCCCTGATTCTGACTTGACTCCTCATGGTGGGACATCTTTGCTATTGTTGAAAGAAGAACTTCAAACAAAGCTTGCTCTAGTTCATCCTAACAGGATATCCGCTTGTTTTTAGCTATAAAACCTAGGTGACAAAAAAAATCATGTGGAGATGAAGGTTGATGGCCATTTTTTTATTTTGGAATGAAAGCTAATATGCAAATTAAAATGTGGAGGAGGAGGAGGAGAAGAACGCTCTTCAGAG